AAATTCATACTTATCTACATGCATTTGAAGACAACAAACAACGTATGGCATTCTTAGTCGCAAGCTTTTAAAATTCATGTTTATTTACATGCGTTTGAAGACACTTACTTTGTTTCTAATACCACACTTCAATTTCAGTTCTGAAGCATTGGGAACACTTCTGTTATCTGCGCCTGTCGTCGGAGGCACAAGATATATCTTTTTCGAAGAAATATCAGAATTCCCTTCAATCAACACGGGTTCAATCTCCTTGGTGATCGCTACATTTACAGGACTTTTTACAGGCACTTTGGCAGCTTTTACAGGCAATTTCACTTTGACGATATTCATAAACGTTGGAAATCCTTGTTCGTCAAATCCACCGGAGTAATTTGCTGGAAGGTTCCCTGTTGGCCAGGGATCTACGTAGTTTGGATCCCGGCAACACTTGCCAATTATTCCATTATCAGGATTTTTACAACTCTATAGAAAATATAGGCATTGTTTCGTAAAAGCCAATAAAAATTCGATAGGTATGCTGTCGTTTTCAAGTATTTTAATGATTTAAAGATTTATTAGCGTACGTGTATTATAATATGTATATAATAAAACCTCTTTTTAATTAATATATTCGTTTACATGAACGAATATATTATTGTCTAAATACACTAAAAATATGAATTTTGTTGCAGGGGACAAATATTATATACAACTGAAGTTAATATAATAGTGAAGCTTCCAATGTCCAAACCCGTATTATCTGAATATCCTACTATTAATAATATTAATATTATTATTGGAACAGAATATTTGAGACTGCGGATTTTTATGCTGCGGATATATAAAGAAATAAAACGACAATAGAAAATTATTTTACCTACGAAATGTTATAGAGAAAATACTTTCGCTATACTTTCGATAGTTCATACATTCTTTCGCATTACAATTATTATATGCGTTTTAAAATTTGCTATAAATGCATAAAAATCCTCTGTCCAGGTGTGATTCATCAATGATTGTTATTGGCAACGAAAAAATTTTTCAGATATTCGTAATCGTTATTTGTAATTAAAAACGTATTTTAGTTATAGAACAATTATTCTGGCCATAGTAATTGTGGTACTATAATAATTCTGGCTATAGTGATTATGATTTAAAAATATTTTTATTATGAAACTTATAATGATATATCGATGCTAAAAGTATAAGATGTCGATATTAGAAACACATTCTCCAAGACACGAGAACTTATTTCTAATGTGTTAATAACAAACTAATTTTTTAAGTCTGTTGTAGTGAATTCGTTACTTTTACTTACGCTCATTGGCACACGTCGGAGAAGTTGCTTTTCCGTCAATACAACAGGCTCTGGGCTAATCGTTCCGTCTATGGTGCAAAATTTCTCTTCAACGCATAGCAGTGCTGCTGCACATCCAACCTGTACATGGGTCGGGATTGCAAAACCGCCTGATTTTGAAATTTCAATGGAAAAAAAAAAAAAAAAAAACGTTGATAAAATTGTTGTTGCAATAAGATGTTCCTTAGTACTACTATGCTGTCCCATGCATTTCGTTAAAAATCGATATTAATGGCAACAATTATTTCGTTTGGCAATCGGCAAATTGAAAAATTGAATAATTCATACAATCTGTTAAAGTATACGGTTGCATAACACTTGAGAGAACTATGAATATTTATAGAATAAGCCTAAGTATTCCCGTGTTTCCCCGGGCTGTTTCCCCGAGAGGTCAATAATGAGAATCCTAAATCAAAATAATTTCGAAATAGAAACGAAACACATCGGTTAGATATCTCTTCAGTTAGAAACCTCTTTCAAAATATTCCTGTTTAGAAAAGATATTGCAAACATGTTGTCCTTAACACATACAGTGAGAGTGAGAAATGAATATATATGCCTCGAAATCATGAAAATTGTCTAATATTTTATATAAATTTTTTGTTACAATCTAGAAACTGTAATAGGAAATTAATCGTCTCGGAGCGTTTTGTAGCTCCAAAAGTTTTGTGTTGTGCTTAAAGCATGAGTGTTATTTGCACGCTATTTTTATTATCACGTACAGAAATTAATTTGATGCTTTTGCATCGCGAATTTGAAAGAGTTGAAAATTCAATGAACTTTAACAATCATGTTCAACTTCGAATGATTCAAAAATTAACTTCCTGTCGGAATGATCCAATAGCAAAACCAAAACAAATAAATTTATCTAAAGAAGGCATTAAGGAATTAATTTCTATACCTAATAATTACATATTGCTAACTATATATGCATATATTATACAAGTGGGAAGTTAAATTAGTATACTTTGTATAGAAGATCCGAAAATATTTGGCTCATTTCCTCCTTTATTTAGCTTAGCAACTTGGTGATAATTTGCGTTCGTTTGTCCAGTTTGGTAATTTATATTGTTAAAATTATTTTTTACATTTTCTCCAATTGTTTTCAATTCCCCTTCAAGTTCTTTTGCAATCGTGCAACAAACTTGATCGTGAACTCTGCACTGCTGAGCCTATTAAGAGAAATATACAAGATAATGGTAATTTTGTATATGTAAATGAAAAATTGATTTATATTAAGTGATTTATTTATCGAACATATGAATCAGAAAGAGCAATATAATTCCCTTCTACCGGCCAAATTATGGAGATCAACGAATAAGATTTTCATAATTAATCAAAGATCGGTCGTTGTGACATTTTTACAGTGATAAATCGAAAATCATGTTCTTCGAGTTATGTCACTTTCTTGGACATACATATATAAATTTGTCTTATAATTTTGTCTGCCAGTGTAGTCGTAGTATTTTAAAAACACACGAATAATGTTTACCTTGATGGATGAAGGATAAATGGCATTTTCACCGAGATGAACGTAACCGTTTACACAATCCTTCTTGATAGTACAAATTCTATTCAATCCAGTACAGCTGACTGTAAAATCATTGTCCTGTACCGCGACTTGTGAAACATCGGCAGGAAAATCATTGAAGATACCGGTGTTTTGCTTAGGACTTTTAAGTATCGCCCCTTGCTGAGAATCTTGAAATAGAACACCGTGTTGTTCTGGTTGAAATATTACTTCTTGTTGTTCAGCAGGTCGAATCACACGCTGTTGCTCGGGAAGTTGGAATATTATTTGCTGCTCGGGAGTTTGTAATATGGCTCCCTGTTGTTCAGAATTTTGATATGCTACATGAACAAAATGACAATTCGTAGCATCAGTGATGCGAAGCTTGAAACTTCATTCAATTTTCCATTTAATTGTATAGAGGAGATTCAACACGGGAGAATACAAAATTTCACCGTAGGTTGAAAGTTTATTAGCAACAGATTTATTATTAATTAAATAGATAAGATATGTATATTAGATATTATAAAAAATCGTTTAATAAATTATTAATCGACACGATAACTTTTGAAGTGATATTATATATGGATATATAAAATAAATAAATATGGAGTTACTTGCAAGCATTTTTTATATGAAAAAAAAACAAAATGAAATGATGAAATTTGGCGATGGAAAAAAATAATAGAAAAATGATAAAAAAAATTCATTATTACATTGTACGAGTCTTAGATATTTTTGAATAGGAACAAAATATCTAGGAATAAAAAAATCCATCTCCCATTTTAAAATAGATTATAATAGAGTTTAATAGATTATTTACAACCATATGAATATTAAAATATCAAATATACAGACCTGTGTCGGTTCGTGGCGAGTAAGACAATCCATTTGTTGAAAAGATAGCAATTAATATTAATGAGCTGACAAGCATTTCTTTTTTGCTTCTTCTGTCTTGGTGTGTCTGCAAAGATGATAAAACGATTGATATAAAAGTAAAAAAATTATAGCCTTTCGTGAAAATTTGAAATTTGTGAAAATGGGCTACGAACTTTTTATGAACATGATTAGATAGCAACTTGTTTTATCTATTAAATATTGTAATAAATATTTTACTTTGGATGCTTTGTAATTATAAAAAGTGAAATGGATGATTATTTAATGAAAAAAAATTATTTCTGTGAGTTTTTTTTTAGTGTTGGTGAATGTAAAGAATAATCTGTTACTTTAAATTACTTTTTCGATTGTACTTGATAAAAATTGCACTGTAATAAATATATGAGAGAAATTGCTATTATTTTTAATTCCAGCCATATCTGTATTTACTCTCGGATTAATTTAAATAATCAAATACTTCAACGTTAGACAAATTTATAATATTATTTGCTAATTGTTAGTGACAACTGATTGGATTGCAAATATTTATGCGCGTAATATACATAAATATGTAAAACATTTAAACTATACTACTTCTTGTTATAATTCAGAATATTTAATAAATAAAGTAGTAATTTGCAATATTTATAAAAGAATGAAAAAAAGGTTGAAACTAAGTAAAAGGCTGATACAATTCCATGTCTACAGTGTTAAACAAGACAACATTAATTATTAACAAAATTTATCAAACAAAAATCATCGTGTTATCTTAAATCTACATACGTATAACAGAAACATAAATTATACTGAATGAATGTGCTGTACATATATAAGTGTAACAAGACAAGAAGGTAAAAGGAAAATTGAAAGTAAATGTAAGAGACTGATATGTTTCATGACTAAAGACGGAAGAAAGTGTTGCATATAATGCTGCTGACGTTTGAGCAAAGTGGTGAAAAGCATTAATTTTAATTTATGGAAAAAGGAAGAGACCCATCACCCGGAAATAGCTGATCCAGGCCACATCGATCGTCTCGATCGAAAGAGAAAGGAATACACACATACACAGAGATTCTCGATTTTTACTTTTCTAATGTCCTACATTCCAAGAATGATATTTTGGAGCTCACGTCATTCTTTCGTCGACCTCGAGAGTGTTTCACTTTGCCTCTCTATCTCCCTTTCTCCCTTCCACGTTGTTATTTCTTCGTTTATTTTATTAGCAATATATACATGTATATATACACGTATTATGGGCATACCTTTGAAGCTATCATAACTATGTGTTTTTATAAAAGTACATCATTTTGTAAATATAAAAATTTAAAAAAAATAGAGTCTCGGTAGAAAATATTCTAAAAAAATATTAATAACTCTGGTTTTATATATATATATATATACGTTTTTTCGTATTGTATGCAACTTTTTTTTTTTTTCACGAATCCATAAAAATCTTTCCTGATTTTTCAGCCGAAAATTTATCCTTGTTATCCGATAATTTATTACTAACAATAAAATTTAAATAAATTTAAATTTAACGCGATGAGAGATCCTCGCTGTTTAATTTGATGAGGTCAGCATTTCACTTTTACGAATATTGGGAAGTTTTGCTAATGTTTCTTGAGATTCACTAGTATGATGCGACATAATTTATGTAAAGACGAATGACTTTTCTGAGAAATTAATTAATTTTGTAAAACTTTTCTTCGTTCAGAGTTATCTTATAAAATGAACTGTCTTAGTAGTTTGTAATCTTTAACACGTCGCACATTTATTTTTATAAATCTAAATTATTTGAAAATCGTCATAAAATTGAGAACTTCATTCCTGTAGTCACGCCCAATTTAAGAAAATTTTAATGTCATGGTCATTTAAAATTTTAAGATTTGATCTAAAATTCTCATACTTTTCAAGAATATAATAACAATTTTTATTATGAAGTAAATATGTCAACTTAAAATACTATCATTCTTTGCATATTCATTCCTAATTATAAATTTATATCTTTTAGTTTCACTTTATATTTCACAATCAATTATGAAAGTAAAATTAAAAAAAGACATACTTCATTTTAACTTAAGAAGATAAAGAAGATTAACTTTATTTATTATTGCTCAAGTTAAAAAAGATAAACTTTATTTTAAACTCAATAATCTTAATCTTGAATTTTTTTAATGTTCTACTTTTAAATTTAATAATTCAGAAATTTTTGGATTTTCAGGAACTTTTGTTACTGTGAAAAGTTGACAAAGCTATTATTATTTCAATTGCATTGTAATTTTTATAAATTTCTTTGGCGAAGGTGAATGGAACATACTGTACGTACAAACAATTTTGGCAAAAGTTTGAATATTAGTTTAATTTTTGTAATTTTACTCATGCTCATGGACAAGGCTGAAGATTCGAAGGTCAAGATTAGAAATAATGGTTACCTGTTTAATAGATCCGCATGTGATGAATACGATTCACTAAATGGAATTTACTTTTCCACGTGATACCTAAAAGAAAGTTAATAAAACTGGCGCTGCTTTAGTATTCGTTCTTCTTTTATATCGATTCGCCAATCTTCGATATCTCCCTACCATCCCAATCGCAATTGCAACCTTGTAGCCACATTCTTGGACCGAGATCTTCTTCGAAAATTTTCTTAAAACTGGCAAGGTAATTTTCTAATTCATATAGTAATCAAATATATAATTTACGTATATAATGTACGTATAAAGAATGTTGTAAATATAAATAAATATAAATATACAATTTATATATATATATATATAAATAAAATAATTATGAAATATAATTCATACAATTATATAAAATAAATAATAAATATTTTGTTTATCATAAATGTAATATGATATAAATGAATAAATAGTTATAATAATAAAAAAAATCGCCTCTATTTCTTTGCTTGTTTGTACTTTTATTAATAATAGGTATTTATGTTAATTTCCTGTTTTCAAAGACTTTGACATGAAATTTTTCTGTTATTATATGTCATTGTGTAAAAATGCCCTTGCCAAATTATTCAGTTATAATTTTACATTAATATAAATGATATTATGATTTAAAATAATATAATATAAATATTATTCATATGTTAATTTAATATAAATTACCATATTATAACATAATTATTATTATCATAAAACTATATTACATATACTTATATATAATATAAAAACTGGAAAACATTCAAGTTAAGAATTAATTAAAAATAACTGTTATATATAT